CAAACAAAACCTTTGGATTTAATTTCTTCTAAACCTTGGTCCACCCAGAATGGTTTGGCTGAATTACTGTAATGCAGTGTGGTTCAGAACAAAACATTTCATGCATACCCCTGATATCAGAATTTAATGGAAGTTAGTAGGATATAAATATATTATGGGATGATGTAAGCCTAATTCAAATTAATATAAAGCTATAAACTGGATAAGTTTAAGTTTTATTTATTTTTCCTTGCATGTGCAAGGGCTCTGCTGATCCGAAATCAGCACTTTTCCATTATGTGATATGCCAGCTGCTTGCCATTTTTGCCCTTCCTCATTGACCAGCCTATTTTCCATGCAAGTAAAAATATACAACTAAAATCTATATGTTATGATCGTTTTAGATTTGTTCATTAATAGTTCTTATCTACAGAATTAAGAGTCCGGTATTACAATATTACTGTTATTTTAGAATGTATAATTCTAAGATCTTTGAGTTGCTTTTAAATTTATTGGACTCATTTAGCCTAAGTAATTTAAAATAGCGTGTCTTGCTAGCCTAACTTTGGGATTGTATCTCAAAATAATAAGTATATGTTGTTTTAAAAGGTTTACAATAATGAAATTAGGAACTAAGATCTAAATCTAAATATACCATGATACCTGCTCAATTACATTACAATTGACGTGCCTTGGTATCTTTGATCTCCTATCGAAAACCATAATTTTGTATTTTTGGTAATTAATCACACTTTCCAGGTGATTCTGTTTGCAGACCATAGTAATTGTTTGTTCATAGGTGGATTTGTGTGTATGTGTGCCTGTGGTGGATAGCAACAGAGAGCAAGGCTATCAGGAAGGAGGGGGTGCATTCCAGGAAGGGAAAGGAGGGAAAAGACAACACAGTCTGCAGGGGGAGCGTGGGAAGCATAAGAGGTTCAAGATAGCCACTCCCTAGAATCTCCCAGGGTATACCTACTAGTTGCAATAACATCGATTTAGTTTGGCAAGTTTCTGTCTATATGGTGTAAGCAAATAAAGGAGCTTAACTCAACTGGACTGTTTCATCATTGTTCTTGGGCTGGGCTTGACATCAATCTTGCCAGACTAAATCTATACTACTACAACTAGTGGATATACCCTGGGAGATTCTAGGGAGTGGCTATCCTGAACCTCTTATGCTTCCCACGCTCCCCCTGCAGACTGTTGCCTGTTCTCTCCTTTCCCTTCTTGGAATGCACCCCCTCCTTCCTGATAGCCTTGCTCTCTGTTGCTATCCACCACAGTGCCTTTAAGCCAGTGTTGATTCCTGGTGACTGCCTGGACATAGCCCTGCAGTTTTCTTAGCAAGATTTCGGAAGTGCTTTGCCATTGCCTTCTTCCTAGGGCTGAGAGAGAATGTCTGGCCCAAGATCACCCAGCTGGTTTTGTGCTTAAGGCAGAGCTAGAACTCCTGGTCTCCTGGATTCTAGCCCGGCGCCTTAACCACTACACCAAACAAGGTCTCATGTATTTTCTATACTGCCCTAAGATATAGTAACTCAGAATGCTTATGGTAAATTTGAAGGCAGCATTATGGATAGACATGTTCCCACTAACTACTTTTCCAAGGATTTGAGGATCATGTCTGAACTTTCTTAGAGATCCCGCTTTTATTGAGGTTCCTTGGTGACGACAATTTGTTTGCACAATTAGATATCATTCAATCGGTCTGTAAGATTTTAAAGGATGATGACATTTTCAGAAAAAAACAAGAAAATATAATTGCACGTCTCATATTTAATTTGGAATAGTGAAGCTATTTTTTGTACTTGCTTGCTATGAGGAAAGTGTGAGCACGTACTGGCAAACGTTTGATTAGCCAAGGGTTTCATTTCACTCTTGTCACAGCTGAATCATTGAAAATAGGCTTTGAGCATTATATATTCTGTTCTACGCCATGTGTTCAGATTTCCGTTTTAAAGTTACTGTTCAATTTGATGTCTGATGGCCAATTGGATGCTGCCTGCAAACCAGAATTGATTTTCTAACTCACGCTTGGAGCAAGTAATGGATTTACAATAACTGTAGTTTGCTTGATTTAGAGCTCAAAACAATCTGTGCACAAATGACAAAATGACATGAACCAGAAATGGGAAAATGTGAACTTGAGGCCTATTCATGACTTTTGAACCAGGTTATGAAATGGTACAGTTGCTTCTGTACCAAATGCTAGCATTTACTGAAATTATGATGATTTATAGCCATATTAGATACTGTGACCATTTTGAAAAAAATAAGCAAACATCAATAGTTTTCTTGATGAATGCCAGAAATGTAGAATGAAAAATGATCATCTATAATCTCTATTTTTTAAAATATAAGACATTTGTTTTCCTGTAATTTTTTAAAAATATATTTATTGGCTTGTAGGCATGAAATAAGAGCAAGAATAATCAGTTTGTTTCTCTTAAATTATAAAAGAAATTTCATATCTGTCCTCACTGCTATAATTTCTGAATCGATATATTAGTTTATGCAGATAAAGTCCTATAATTTGCTTCCAGTCAAATTAACATGGGATTTTGTGTCAAAATATTAGTTTCATAAAGCACTTGCATTGTATTATTTGGCCATGCATTCCATATAATATTAGTAGTGATGATAGTGTTTTATTATTGTAGGCAGTTGTGCAGTCCTTTTTCAACTTCCTTTTTCTCTGTTTGAATTAGGAGCGGCAAAGTTGGTAATAGCAGTGGCTGTGTTCTTGCTGATGTTTTATGTCATATCTCAAGTATTTGAAATAAAAATGGATGCCAGTTTAGGAAATCTTTTTGGTAAGTGGCCTACTTCAGTTTTTCTCACTCAGAATTATATTATTTAAGCACAAAGCCATATACAAGTGTTCCCAAACGTTAAACCTTTTGAGTTAGTGAGACTAACTCACAGGTAGATCAATTAAGGATTGTAGATAAAATGTTCTTTATATACTGTAGCTATGCTTTCAATTCAGAATCCCAATTCTGCCATAAGATTTGTCAGGATAAGTATGGTCATTTTAAATTATGTGGAGTAAAGCAAACCACCTCTGCTTTTTTATATTCCCTTCTGATTAATTTACAGTAAAATATTGGTTTCATGGATGTTTTGGGGGAAGGAGGTCTCCCTTATATACAGTTTATCACACTGGTGTCATTACATAATTGACATAAATGGCATAATTTGCAGCAATACCTTGATTGAACCATCAAACCCTCAGTTTAAAGGCCATTAGTTGTTAAATGGGTGAAACCCAAATGAAAAAAAATTGGCCACTGTATCTGAAATCCACTAAACTGAGGTCCATTAAACTGAGGGATTATTATATAGCTAATTAGTGTATATGTGCGTAGCTGGGTGGTATGAAGGACGCATTCTGTAATCACCTTCTGTGGTACAGCATAATATTGTAATCAGTGGCACTGAAATGTCATTGTATAGCTGGTAAAACTTAATATCAAATATAAATGATAAGCTATCATTTTCAAACCTATGAGGTAGGAATTGTTGCATATAGTTCCATAAAGAGTATAATTAAGAAAAATGTTGTTTTTCTAATATGTATATTTAATGTTAACTTTTCTAGCAAGATCAGCACTGGACCTACCATTGCGAAGTGAGTATTGTGCACTAAGATTGTTATTTATTGGTATTCTTTATGCATCATAATAAAGATCCATTGGTCCTATCCAGTACAGTGAGGGTGTCTTAGTAAGCAGTGCAAGGCTGGTGCAGATTTTGAATGGAAAGTCTTGATGGCCTTGTGAAATTCCTCAGAATGCAGATTGTGTAAGAGCTTCCTAGCTAATAGAGACCCACAACAAAAAGTCAGCAGTTCAAAAGAGACAGGTAAAGCTTTAGAAAGCTTTTTATCTTTCCAGTGCTTATTCTTTGATAAAGATTTTTTAAACCCATGTCTCTGATTCATGTAAATGTTTAATATTTGTCTTGATTTGGATTTACTTTTTTAAAGATTGAAGGGATTGTAGGCTTAGGCAAGGGGATGCTGACTTTCAGATTGGCACCTTTTAAAATAATTTGGTGGAAATATGCATTTTTCCCTTTGGTCTAGAGTAAGTCATTTTGCCCTTCACATTTTTAAGGCAGAGGTACAAAAAGGCACAAATGATTCAGCAAAAGGTCTAAGTTGACTTAGTGCAGTTGAACCAGTGCAGAAAGTTTCCTACTCCAAATTAAAAATAAAAAACTACCAATAATTAAAAGTAAGGTATTCTGCTTGCATTTCTAGATTGACCTCGCCACTGGCTTGCACTTTTGGGTGGCATAATTCTACTCCTTCTGATATGGGGATTTCTAGTCTGGCAAGCTTGGCCCCATGTCAGAAGAATATCCTCATCACTAGGTTTGGGGATACTATACTGTGCTGAACACTTGGCCTCTTCTGGACTGGTCTCAAGTGCATCAGGGTTGTGGCTTGCTAGTAATGCTCAATGCCTGTTAGTGTGCAGAGGCAGAAAAAGCAGGCTGACCCACAGAGAGACTGCAATAGAAATATGAGTGTTCATAGCCTTACCAGCCCCCCCATTTGGGCTAGCCCTGTATGCGTTTACCTGGCACCTACTCACTCATGGTAGAGCCCTAAACTTGCCAAAGTCATGCAACATTTAAAAGTAAGGCTTGTTCTATACTTGGTCTTACTGGTTTGAGCCAAGAATATGTATTGGAATGGTTTGTTTGGAGCCTGTACTCTGACACCAGAGTTGAGCTTCCATTGTGTTGGCTGGACCAGCATAGAAATGTAACATTCAATTAGCATAAGAGAGAGTAAAGTCTAAGTGTCTAGTTGGCCACATTAAAGAAACTGAAAGCTGAGTAAATGAATGAAACCTGAGTAATGTAATTCTTCCCATCCCAAAAGAGTTCTGATAGGCAGAGAGTTTAATTAGGTAATAAAATATATTAAGCTACTACTTACATGAAGGGCTCTTCACACAACTCATTATGCTCCCTCCAGTGTTTTCCATCTATGGAAGTGATGTTGCCACATTGTATACTTCCCATTAAAAAAAACACAAAAATAGAAGAAAAGCTTCAAAACTGAAAAGTGGTTTGTAAGGCCGTGAAGTTCTTTCTGGCCTCCTGATACAATTTTGGGCATTGGAGCAAATCTCCATTCAGTCTGAAAGCCTGCTTGGATTTGATAGAACCTTCAGGGGAGTGGTTGGATTGGATCTATAAAGCTTTGCAGAATACTACAAGGTATCACTATGATTCCCAAATACTCCCAAACTCTCTAAAATACTCCCAGCATTCCATCACTTAAGTTTTATTTGGAATCGTTTCATCAGTTCTATTTTTAATTCCATTCACTTCTGCAGGAGGCTCTGGGTTTGGACTTCTTCATCCACTTCAAAATAGTCCTTTTGTTTCCATCAAAATAGTTCAACATTTTCTCAGCCTCCTTTAATCTTGACCATTCACTGCTTTCTTTGACTACTTGCTTTGCAACTGCCTTTTTCTCTCGGTACACATTATACAATATCTTTCTCTCATTCTCAATTTTTTCAGTCATTCTCCTCTATGTCCTTTTTTCTCACCCACAGTCTCTTTCACACCATTCTATGAAGTCTTCCTTTTCATACTTCCCATTAGCATAACTCCACACACTTCGGGAGTAATCAGTAACATACTTCTTTTCACCCTGTTCCAAGCAGCTTCCACTTCCTCTTTCCTTATGTCTACTTTCCATTCATTTGGTTGGGGGACAGTAATCTATCTTCTAATACTTTTTCATACAGGACTCATACTTTTTCTTCCTGCAGGCTTTCTGCTTTCACAATAGTTGCTTGTATGTGTTTTATTTTCCTCCATATACTTTTCTTGTCACTACAAAAAAAAGGTCCATTCCACATTCAGAATCATTCATCACTCTTGTATCCTTCAATAATGCTCTCAGTATTTCATCATAAACAATCAGATCAATCATGCTTTTAAATTTGGGTTTGTTTCTTTGCCATGTGTACTGTATGTATGAATAGGCTTATACTTAAACAATGCATTTGAAACAGACCACTTTCTTAATTAAGATTCACCGAGCAGTCATTATTCTCACTGTTGGTCCTTAATGTCCCAATAACTTTTTCTGTTTGCTCTCATCTGATTCCCACCCACCCATTCATGTCACATAACAGAATAATTTGTTTCCTCAGATTACATCATGCAGAATGTTTCACAATTCTTCCCAAAAGTCATATCTAGTTCTTCTCTTATCATCCATTGGAGCATAACATGCAGCTATCACCAACCTTTGGATTCCAACTTGAATATGAATCCATAACAACCCCGTAACACTGATTCATTCTTTTAACATTCCTTTCAGCCCTTTCATAATTAAACCTACTCCTTCACTTCCATAAACATATTCATCGACCCCAGTCCACAAGACTAAGTTAATTCATGCTCTTTACTATTTACTCCTCTTTTACATTCCAAGTCACAATTTATTATGTGTAGTGGTCATCACCAGATTGGCCAGCAGATACTACCTCCACTGCCCATCATGGCTTTGGTCAATCAAGGCATTTACATAATTTATTTTGGTAAGGGGGTAGAAAGGGTAAATTAAGTTGATCAAGCTTAAAGACAGTATGTTTGGAAACTTTTGGATGGTAAACTATAAATTAATGGCGGCGTTGATGTTATACAAATATAATAAATAAAATAAGTACAATTGAATCCCAGTTTTACCCCAAGCAGGTTAAATCTGTTCTATGCAAGCTAGGATCTATAATGGAGGTGCATGGTGTCTACTGGCGTGCTTGAGAAAAAAAATATAAGCCCCTTATAACTGTTAGGTGACTCTAAGGTTAGTGTACATACCTGTACATACTTTAAAGTAACTGTAAACACTAACTTTACAATACTTTGTAGACAGTTTTGTTACAAAATACATTCTGTAAATCAAACGGCTATGGAACACAGTGGCACGGAATGCTTTTCCTAATTTTCAAAGGTCGTAGGCAAGTTGCTTGCATTTTCTCTTTACATACTTTGTCATGATTTTACAATGTCTGAGATTATATCTTCTCCTTAAAGTAAAATCTATTCCTTTCTTTCCCAAAAGGTACAAAGCCCCCAAGGTATAAATGTGGAACTTCAAAAGCATGTCCAGCTAATCATTTTGCTTTCAAAATGGCAAGTGGAGCAGCCAACGTAGTTGGACCTAAAATATGTGTAGAAGACAATGTGTATGTATGAACCAATTTCTTTAACTGGAGCTGTTGGGGGCTATATCTGGGATTTATGCATTTTTAAAAAAATGTTCTTACTGTGTTATTGTTTTTGTTGTGAATGAATGAATGAATGAATGAATGAATGAATGAATATCTATCTATCTATCTATCTATCTATCTATCTATCTATCTATCTATCTATCTATCTATCTATCTATCTCTGTCTTTACTCTATAGCAGTATTTTTCAACCTTGGCAGCTTTAAGCTGTGTGGACTTCAACTCCCAGAATTCCCGAGCCAGCAATTCTGGGAGTTGAAGTCCACACAGCTTAAAGTTGCCGAAGTTGAGAAATACTGCTATAAAGTACCAAAATCAGCATCTTCTCCATTATATCCTACCTGCATCCTAAGGTCTCATTGGGCCAAATCTCCATGGGCCATTTAATTTTTTTTTTTTAAACATAAACTCTACTGCAGTTTTGTTTAGATGTACTTTGATTAGCATGGTTATGGTGATTTTAATTATTCTGTTGCTTTTTCTCTCTTTTTGGACTCTGTATTTTTTCAGCATTGTATCTTTGCATCTTATTAACAGCCTTGGATATTCTGTAGCACGAAGGCAGTACTGTATACTGATTTTCCTACTAAATGATGTCCAGGGGGAATCCTGGAAGGAGTCATAAAACTTTAGCAAATATTGTTCATGTTTTTTTGGGGTGGAGAAAAAAAAAACTATTTCCATTTATGTGCTGAAGTGTTCCAAACTGTCACCAAAGAAACTCCTGTGGTAAATATACAAGAAAATGATAAAATGTAAAGGTGTATGATAATTAATTTAATGTCTTCAAATTCAACACGCTTGGCATAATTTTATTTCAATGATTATGAATTGTTCCTTGAATCATACTGTGACACAGTATTGTAATGGATATGACAGTTTTCCTTGCAAATAGTCATGAAATAGATTTGATTTTTTTTGCTGAATGGGGTAACATTTGTGTGGTGTAGTGATTAGAGCACTGGACTGTGACCAGAGTAATCCATGTTCAAATCCTCAGTGAGCCTTGTTCCTCACTGGATGGGTCTGTGCCAGTTACTATCTACCTTTAGACAGCAGAGGGAATGGCCTGGAAGAGCCACTAAACAAGGTAACAGTGAGATAAGAGCCAAGAAAGTAATTTGATAAGCCCTTCCCTAGTACACATGAAGATAAAGGGAGGGGAGTGGAACATATTCAGACTTGCAAGATTCTGTTACTATAGCTATTACGATAAAAGTAGTATTGAAGTGGATGGCACTGGGGTCTTGGTCTGGTCTACCTTGTAGGACTGGCACTCCCTCATAGCATTATTGTGAAAATAAAATGAGGAGTTACCCCATGCACGTGACCTTGAACTCATTAGAAGAAATTTAATAATAGGTTTTGCAAATAATAGGTTTTGCAGCAGAGATGGAGTATTCAGGAAAACTCTAGAACCTCTTGTTCTTTCTCCAAGTCATACTGATCTGGCCGTTCTAGCGTGATCTAGCAGTTTTCCAGAAGTGCATTTTCTGGAACATCCAGAAATCATGTGTTTCACAGCTCATACTTCTGGGGATCCGGCCTTGTCTGAAAGACCACAAATCACTTTCTGTTCAGGAAAGTTTCTTTCTAGAATACTGCCAGACCACACCTGGACTAGCCAGATTGTCAGTCCAGAGAAAGAATGGGAATGTTCTGGAATTCTTCAGAACAAACATGTTGGGCTAGCTAATAAATAGCTGTGCATAAATAAATATTCAGGGTGATTTGATAATTTGAGAAGCATTTATAACAATAGAGGAGCATCCTTCTCACTATGCCCTAAGGGTGAGTGGCAAAGATTTCATCACCTCCCTCCCAGTGCAGAATATATTGGTCTGACCTATTAAAAAAATTACTGTATTTTTCCGACTATAAGACGATACTTTTTTCTAAAATCCTTACACTAAAAATTGAAGGG